TGATCTATTTTGTCCCGGGTCACTTCCCGCTCAATATTTTCGAGATTAAGGACCTTTAGAGATAAGGGAAGAGGTTTCAATAGGATGGTGACTAGTGTTGTTTACGGGTTTGGGTTCCTTCACGTCTCATCATGACTCAGCGACAATTTTATTTTCTTCGAACCTCTGCAAAGGCTTCACCGATCGCTAGTAGGAGAGTGCTTCCCAAAATACGGTCACATACTTCATCTAACTCACTGTTTAGCCCTGCTAGGAAATCGTAGAGTCATTCTTTGTTGAGGTGTGCCATGAACTTGGTGTATTCCATGCCCTCACCCCAACCTGCTTCCTAATACATATCAAGTTCCAGCCACAAGATCTTCAAAGTTGTTGTAATAACAAATCACTTCAAACGTTCTTTGTCGAATGTCCTTTACCTTGGCTTTGATCTTAAACATCTGAGAGGCATTTTTCAGGTCTAAATAATTCTCCTTGACTTTATCCCACATTGTTTATGCAGTCTTGAATAGAAGGTAGATATGTCTTATATGGCTTTCTATAGAGTGATCAGCCATGCCATTACAATTAAGTTATTGAATTCCCATGTGTCATAATTAGGATCTTTTGAAGGACGTGGAATTTCTCCATTGATGTATCCTAATTTTGCCATAGCTTTGAATTACCATGAAAACGGATTGAGACCATTGTAAGAAATTCTTACCATCTAGACGATGATTATTGATTATAAGAGAGGAATTGATATCGTCATGTGAGGTTACCTGATTGATGTTTTGAGTTACTTGTGAATGTTTCAAATTCAGATGAGGTTTCAGTGTGATCTCCCATGGGAGGAAGGCAAAAACAAGGGGTTTTTTAATTGGAACGAGCAGGACCGAAAGAGACCTAATGCTCTAATGCCATGAACAAGTTTAGGAGAGGAAATGTAATTTTATTTTCTCTATATTCGAAAGAATCAGTAGCTTACAATTTATAGGAAATTAGGTAGCATAGTAAAGGAAATGATCCCTAAAAATCAGGAACTAAGATTAGAAACTATTTACACTAAGTCAACTCCTATAAATAAGTAATAATTTTGTTCTTAAATTCTCGGAATTCCAACACTTACCATGTAGATTCCAGCAATTCTTCTAGAGATGACCAACCTTACGACATTGATCACACTATGGTCTCCCTGATTTGATTTTGCTAGTAGATATAGCATGGGTTAGAAGGGCAAAGCCATCAATAGAGGAAGGTTTAGGCAGCCTGAGGGCTCTTCGACTTTCTTCCTTTCGAACTTTAGAAAATACCTCATAGGTAGAGGTTTGATGCTAAGGATTCTCCCACGGGCAACATCCAAATTTTTATGCAATCCATTTAGGAATTGAAAATTCATTTTTTTTATTAGTTAACTTCTTGTAAAGTGCTGCATCATTCACACGTAAGTCAATTTGTTGCCAATACTTGGTCAATGTGTGTTGTAATAATGAATCACACTCATGTTGTCTTGCTTGAAATCAGAAGTTTTACTCTTGCTCACAAAAAGAAATTTTCCCCAATTGTTGGTGACATTGTATTTATTAACCAAGACATGATTATGTTGTTTTCCCGGATCCATTTTTCACACCCTGGGTCTGTTTCATTTGGTTTTGTGGCTCCCGTTGAAACAGAGCATAGCTTCCTCCTTCTTGTAATAATATCTTCATAGATTGAATCCGAAGATAGTTATGGTGAGTAGTTTGTGGACGGTTACCGAGTAAGAACAAAACTCAGCCAGGCCATAAGAACCTAAATATTTGCGAGGCTAGAATTTACTTTTGAAGAGTGTCCGACCATCGTGATAGTTTAGGAATGTACCCAAATTGATACCATGTAAGTTTTAGAGAAATAGAGTTGTTTTCTATTTCTTAATTCACTTACAAAGAGAGGGAGTCCCATCATCTCTTGTACAAGACGTCTAACCAAAGTAAAAGCCCATTTAAAATTTAAATTAAAGATAAACTAGAGACTTATCCTAGGCTAACTAGCTATTTACAAATAGTAACATAAATCTTATCTACAATCACAAACACCATTGAAGGATTTTCATATACTCATGATTAAAGTCGACTTTGGATGGAAATAGATTGATATGGTAAGAAGAATGATGGGAAACTGAGCAAGGGTCCATGGTTTCCCATTTGAAATCTTTGAATTTCAACTCTCAGCTACCAGATACCAAAAATTTTCATAACCCAATAAAGTTTGAGATTGTTTCTTATCTCGCATTTCTAGGATGGAACGTAACAGAAAAAAAAAAGAAATCAATTTCTATATTATTAGCATTAGGCATTGGAGTATTGGACCAGGTGTTTTATGATCCGAGTTTTGTTTGATTTGATCCTCGCGTTATAAATCTTTCATCCAATGCAGTTCGTACGCAACTGTACTTATTGTATTAGTTTTTGATTGAAAGGAATTCTTATTGGATAAAACTCTGTAATCTAAGACTTATTTGTCATTAGGTAATTGTCTCTATAAATAGATTATAGGAATAGGGTTATTGTTTATGAGAAGCCGAAGAATTTTTGAAGTCACAAACCTTTTTTTATTGACATTTTAGTGAATTTTTTTATGTTGTTCGTGTTTTTTCCTTTTAGGGTTTTTCATTTAAATATATGTTTCATTTTTATTGCGTGATTGCTTATTTGTCGTTATCTTCTGTAAAACTCATAACAAACTGGTATCTAGGTCTTTGGATTGCTTGATTCAATCACGATAATGCTATATTTGAAGAATAATATTCTTCTATTGGATTGTGCCATTTAAATTTCGTTGTGGCGAGTAGAGATGCGAGTAATTCTTGCACATATGTATTTGAACAATGTCTTATTATGATTTCGTAGGATGTCTTTGTCTTGAACACCTGAGTAGAAATAACGTAAGGATCGAAAACCCCTCTCAAATTCATATGTATTCGTTAAATTAAATATTTTAAATATTATAAGATGTGTTGAAGGAGAAAACTACTGATGCGTTATGGTTGAAGCTGGAGAAATTGTACATGATGAAAACTCTAACCAGCAGGATGCATCTGAAGCAACAACTATTTTTATCAGTTGGCAAAAGGTTCGCCTCTGATCACTTAATCGTTTTTAAGGAGGTTGTCTTGGATTGGGAGACTATAGAAGTTAGTTATGACGAAGAAGATTTAGGGTCAATTACTTTCTATTTACTATTGTTTTCTATCTGATATTTAAGGATACTATTTTATATAGTCATGAATCTGTCACTGTTAATGAAGTTTATGATGTTTTATCCTCGTATGATAAGATGAACCATTTCATGATTGGACTCGAATTTTAGTTTCACATGGAGTCTCATTGTTTATGGGAGAGCACAAGAACAAAGTCCTAGTGGTGATGTTAGTGTTAAGTCAATCGAGAAACTTAGGTGAAATTTGTTATTATTGTAAGAAAAAATTGCATATTAAATCTAAATGTCATAGGTTACAGAACACTAAGTAATGGATTCTAAAAGGTATACGTACACTGTTGGAGTTGGAGTTATGAGGATTAGTAGAAGCTTTCTTTTAGTGATGAAAGGGTAGAAAAAAATTGTCAAGTTTTATATTCTGCAGGATTTAACAGTTTTAGATGATGGGATTGTTACTGCCTCTTCCATGTCAGGTGGAGACATTACTATACTTTGACATGTGTGTTCAGAGCATATAAGTGGACAACATAATGGTTGAATCAAGCACAAAAATATTTCATGTTGAACAATAGATTAGCAATTTGAAGTTTAATTTTAGGAAGCAAAAAGAGTTCAATTTGTTGCAAGGATTCATAACGCCAAGAGTTCAGAAAGTAGACCTCCACTGAGGTTTGGTATGGCTGATTTATATTCTTACACCTTATTTTTGGTTGAAGATTTATATGCTAATGATGTTTAGTATTGTGTAGTACGTGATGTTATTGCAAATGGTGATATTATTGAGTGTAAAGTTGCCACTTATTATAAAAGTATCAATACGATGACTAAGTCAAAAATGGAGCATTGCTTGGACTTGACTAGTGTCTATTATTGAGGAATATCCTTGAGAAGTTTTGTGGAAGAGGTGTAGAATTTATTTTTCATCTATATTGAGATTTTCTTTTACTTGCATTGCATTTCTAGAATTTGTGTTAAGGTGGAGACTATTAGAGTTTGTTACTTGAATATGGTTTGATTCGGCTTTCGCAGTATTGACCTTATCGCACATCCAATCCATGTACGACTATACTTCTTGTATTAATTTTTTATTGAAAGTATAAATTTGTATTAAAGAAGACCCTTTGTAATCTAAGATTTTTTTATATCAACAATTAACCGTATAAATAGAAAATAAGGATTAGACTGAATTTTTTTTTCCCTTTAACTGTGGTTTTTTCTTTTAGGTTTTTCACACAAATCTCTGTGTCTCATTTTTATTGTGCGATTGTTTATTTGCCATTATCCTTCGCATGACATAGTAACAGGTGTAAACATATTTATCTATTTTAGATTATGGCTTGCTGTTATAACCTGGTGAACGAATATGTTTCTCCTTCATGATGTTTAATAAATTCAATAGGTTTATCCGTAGGAGGGCTTGTTAAGGATTGAGATATAGCTTGAGTTATTTCCCGTGGTAACATTTTGAAAGATAGACAATCACTAGTGTTTGACATCAGTTTGGTTTCAATCATTTACTGAATCTGCATGAGCATATATTTGCGGGTTCATCTAGTATTCATGTCATTCTTCTAGCGTAAGGCTTCGTACTCTTATATGCTTGATGTCAGATGTGATAAGGTTCTCCGTATTTTGTTTTCTTCTTCTCTTTGTGTTGGAAACTGCTGGATAACAGTGATGTCACTGTTGAATAGCATATGTAGTTGATGATATGGTGCCTTCCATTAAGCTATCTCTCTGGCATATGACACTCTTTATAGTTATTTGAATAAATTGCTGTTGTATCATGTGGGATTGGTTTTGACAATGGATGTCTTGACATATAGAGTAATGCCTACGGCCCAAGGCAAGCATGGCATGATCTACACTGCAGAGTCGAGGGCCCTGCTGCACATGATATATTGACTAATTTTGAACAAAGATGGAGAAAGTCTTCAAAGTGGCGTGACTTCAAGGTAAGAAAGGTCAATCCTTGGCACGAGGATGCCTTGATAAAGCTAGACCGTGTTTCATGGATAACATGTCCCTCTCCTGGTTCTGATGGAGACGAAGTTCTGCATGTTAGAGATGAAGGTGACCCAGATAATTGGCATGTGCAGGTTGGAAATTTTATGTTCCATACAATGACTTCTATTCCTTCTACTCTTCATGTTGAGATAATGTCAGTTCTCTTTATGATAGGTATTCCGGTCCATTGATTCTGGATCTGTGAAAGGATTTCCAAAGGATGTTCAGCAAGCTGCAGCTCAGGTTTGAAACTATCCCATTGTAATGCCTTTTGGGTCATTAACAGTTTTCTTAGTCCTTGTTACATCCATAATATGAAGAACCTTGGTATTTTGATTTGTATGTTTCTGCAGAACCTTATATGTGGGAAGAACTTGAAAGTAGACATGAGCATCCATATAGCTTATATAAAAGCAATAAGATCAGCACAACACTCGATATATATTGAGAATCAGTATTTCATTGGATCTTCATATTTTTGGCCATCCTACAGAAATGCAGGTAATCAACCATAGACTAGTAGCACTTCACTTTCTCCCTTTGGCTGGTGCAAATGGGATTTAACTCTTTGGGGGAGCTGAAATATAGCTATGACTTGGCCCTCTTTCAGTTATGTTCATAATGTCTATGAAACCAGTGGATCTATCTCAGATAAGCTAAAAGATGCATATTTCCTATTATATTTTCCGAAATAAGCTAAAAGGCTGTCTTTTTCTTACATGACTATGTTTAGCATGTATACACATACGCATAAAAGACTATAGTAATTGCATTATTTCTTTCTTTCGAACTACTGTTCCTTGGTATTATTTTCTAAAAGTCTCAGTGGTAGCTTCATTTTAAGAAAATTAACAGTTAATTTTGATCTCTGTAATCATTGCAGGTTAATTTTTATTTGGGTTTTTCCTATTAACATCTGTGATTTTTACATAATCTAGAAATGCTTATAGTTTGGTTTCTGGGCAAGCTGAATTAAGTCGTCAGCTCTTTGTGTAAGGAGTGTTTCATCTGCTTTTCATATCTTTGGAAACACATATGAAATGGTAAGGGAAGCAATTTTTCTTCATAACCAGGTGCTGATAACTTAGTCCCTATGGAACTAGCCCTGAAAATCGCCAGCAAAATCCGTGCAAAAGAGCGTTTTGCGGTGTATATAGTAATACCTATGTGGCCAGAGGGTGAGCCAACTAGCAATGCTGTGCAGGAAATATTATATTTTCAGGTTTTCTCACTCCTTATTAAGAATTGTGCATTACAAATATGAACCTTTTTCACTCCAAATAGAAAAAAAAAAAAGGAATTTTACATTGTTACTTGTGGTTGATCTCTGGCTCCATATTCTTCTGCATTGAAAAGTTTGCATATTTCCAACGGAACTTAAACCAGTTTATATGTTGTCAGTGTGTTATTTTCTTCATTTCCTTGTCAAGGATCAGAGAATCGAAGACCTTAAACCGGTTTATTTGTTGTGATAACTTGCTAGTTATCACAGTAATAGGAATAGAAGTTTATTTTTATGTTTAAATGCACATAGGGACAAACAGTGAGCATGATGTACTCGATCATTGCGAAAGAACTCGACCTAGCAGGCCTTTCCGATCAGTATAATCCACAAGAGTACTTGAACTTCTATTGCCTCGGTAAACGTGAAGCTCCACCTCTAGAGAGTTCGACTAAACTAAATCACAACAAGGATAACCGTGAACTGGTATAAGCCTTTTTGTTTTCTTCCTATATCTACTTTGACGATTATAGACATGGAGATCTTAGGGAACAAAACATAAATGCACTCACAGCCAAACCCCAATAACACATATTCCGTCGTTCCTTTTTGCCAGGGATTGGCTCAACAATTCCGCAGATTCATGATATATGTTCATGCCAAAGGGATGATAGTGGATGATGAGTATGTGCTACTAGGATCTGCAAACATTAACCAGAGATCCTTAGAAGGTTCAAGGGACACCGAAATAGCTATGGGTGCTTACCAGCCAAACTATACATGGGCGGTAAAGAAATCCAACCCTCGTGGCCAGGTTCGGGACTGTCTTTTCAGATTCTACATAAACTTGACTAGGTGCCCTGAAACATAGACTGTTATTACATATTATCTAGATTTGTAAGCTGCACGAGCATTGTTGTATCTAGGTTCATGGTTATCGGATGTCGCTCTGGGCGGAACACCTTGGTGAACACGACGATGCTTTCCGGGAACCGCAAAGCCTGGAATGTGTAAAACTTGTTAATGAGATTGCCCAAAGTAACTGGAAAGCATATGCGGAAAATGATTACACAGAAATGAGGGGCCACTTGATGCAGTATCCATATGAAATCGGAAGAGACGGAACGGTTTCTCTGATCCCGGAACAAGAAACATTTCCTGATGCTGGTGGTAAAATTCTTGGAGCACCTACCAATCTTCCTGATGTTCTAACAACTTAAAACGACATGCCAAAGCCATTGCCTTAATTGCAAAGCCCCAGTAAGTTTTTAGTAAACCACAAAATTGCAGGATGTAACATTAAAGAAAAGTCGAGATATAATATTAAGTTAGGCATTTTCATCACGGGTTGATGATTGTTAAGACCTCAGTAGCTGTGTTGAGTTTATTTATTTATGTTTTTTGAAGTTATTTCTGTTGTATATCCATTTCTTGCAGACAATTTATACAAATAGAATTCTTGCCATATTCTCTCGACATTAGTGGTGATTCCATGAATCAGAATGAGAATGTTGAAATGATAATTTAAATGTGGTGCCACGTAATGGATGTCACCTATCTATTACTTTATTTTTATTTTGCACATTCAATTATTATTTTTTTAAATCATATTTAATGTTACATTTATTTTAATAATCTATTGTTAAAAAATTGACGACGATGTTAATATAATAATTTTTTTAATTTCTACCTAATTATTCTTTTATTATTATTTTTTACAACAAGGAGATAGTTGAAATTGAACCATGACCCTTTTAAAAAGGACATATTTATTTAGGGTAACAGTTAATTATTTAATAATTCTTTTATTTTTTTCTATTTGAAATTAGATGTATTTGTTAGATAAATTATTAAGTGTAATTAAAAATTAATTTATTTTTATTTAATCTTATAAATCAATTTTCTTTTCGATATTTAATATCAAAAATCCAATTTTTATATTGACCAGTAAATTCTCATAAACAGGCAGTCATGCTAATGAATTTCCCATGTATTCGTAACTTTTTTTTTTTCATTTCCCCCCTAAAGGTCCAGTATTTGAAAGCGGGGTTCCTACATTTCAAGTACATGATAGAGACACACAGAAACATATTTGAAAGCGGGGTTCCTACATTTCAAGTACATTATTGGTTGGATAGATAACTGTATAGACTGTGAAACTAGGTGAGATGAAATTAGGATTCTGAATTTGCTCAGGTGAGAGGGAATTAGGGTTCTATATAGAAGATTTTAGAAGAGTCTAGGGTATTGTACTAGATTCGAAGACTACCCACTTGATATTTTGTTTTCTGTTTACATAACCAGAGAGCGAAATTAGGTTATAGGATGATAGATAGGTGACAGCGATGGTAAGGTGGGGTAGTGTTAAATTTAATGATTTATTAAATAGATTTTTTTAAGATGAATGAAAAAGAATAATATGTGTCAATTTAGTGTTAATATTCTTTTAAAAATATGTTAGTTTAGTTTTTTAATATTTTCAGATTAAAATTATATAAAACAAAATTCTCAAAAACACCTCTCATTATAATGTTGATTCCGCCGGTGAGTTGAAGAGAATCGAATGAGTATCTCTTTAAGGGTGTGTTTGTTTGCCGTAATTGGAATTACGGAATTGATTTTCTCCAAATTCTCGTGTTTCACGTAATTCGTTTTCTGAAAAATGTTTTCCCGTGTTTGTTTCACGTAATTGGTTTTCTGTAATATAATTCATTTTTCTAGTAACATAATTTCCTTTGTGTTTTCTGTTAAGTCATTTTCATAACTTTTCACTTCAAAGAATAAATACTCAAAATAAATTTATTTTATGAATTTAATTAATAAAATATTTTAATATCATTTCATCAAAATTATTTATTTATTTATTAATATTTATAATAATATATATTGTATTTATAATATTATATAAAATCAATTATTATAATATATAAGATATTATATTTTTATTTTAATAATATAATAAATTTTTTTTATATTTAATAATGAATAATATATTTTATATTTAAATTATATTTTAATAAAGATATTTAAAATATACTAATTAATATTTTTAAAATACTATACACTATACTTTAATAAATAATTAATATAATTTTATATTTTATTTCACTAAAATATACAAAAAAATATTATTTTTATTTATAAAATTATAAAAATAATATTTAATAATAAATAAATTATTTATATTTTAAAATAATATATTAAGTTTTATGATAAATAATATTATTTATTATATTAATATTTGTATTAAATATTTTAAAAACTCTTCAACTAGTGGAAAAAATGTTTAAATAACATCTTCCAAACATCATAAAAAGTTTTCCAGATGTTTTTCAGAAAAATGTAATTCATTTTACGAAAAACATTTTCCGGAAAACATTTTCCAGAAATATAATTCATTTTCAAGAATTCATTTTCAAGAATTTAAACCAGTAATTCATTTTCCAGTTCCAATAATTCAAATTCCAGTAATTCATTTTTCGAAAAATCAATTACAGCCAAACAAACAGAATCACCACATCGGGTACTAGTCTAACGAGCGAGTCATGTAAAAATGGGTGGTTCATCAGAATGTTTGAGTCGATATTTTTATGAGTAGATCATCGTTGGCTATGTTTACAAGCATTTTGGCATACGAGATTATCTCTATAACAAGTTGTAGACGCTCCCACTATATGGAATTGAAAGCTATCTCATCAAGATTTGTTACATGATGGTACATAAGCCAAGCCTTTCTTTGAATAAGTTCAATTTTTATATCTGCTCAAAATCACTAAAAATGGCAATTAAGGTGCATTGGTTTTGTTGGCCTAATTAGAGGATTCCGATGATAAGGAACGGATTAATAGGATTCAAGACAAGTGTCAAATTGTTAGTACTTTGATGGGCGAGTAGCCTCCCCTTGTGCGGTCACCAAACGTAAGTTCAAGCACGCATCAAATGATTTCAATACATAAAAAATTTATGAGTATCTTTTGAGATTTTAAGTTTGAACAACATATATAAGAAAATAAGTATTCATTATCGATTGAGACTTTTAAAGGATGGCAAAGGAGAGGAAGAAGAAATGACTCCAAGTTTTAGAGGGTTTTTTAAGAAATCTTTTCGAGATAGAGTGAATCTGGAGATAAAATGGTTTCTAATGTAGTAAGCGATGAAGACAATGAGGGTTTGTTGTCACCTACGAACCAATAGACACACGGGCCTATACCTACCACCATCTGTGAGCATGAGTATCATGTGAACCTTTTACCAGGCGAGCAACTACGTGTCAACTGTATGCTATTCATGTGAATTCACTCGGCATGCAGATGCGCAGATTATCCTAACTTAACAAATCATCATTCAAAGTAACCAATCAAAGTCAATGGCATGACTAAACAATCAATCAATACCCATCACACAACCTTCTAGAACAACCAATCAGATTCAACCATATGACAATTGTGGAACGATTAATTAGAATAATGACATGACAACTCCTCAATAAAGCTAAATCAAGGATACTATAAATAACGATGCGAGAGAGATCAGAAAGCATCACAATTCTAGGAACAAACCAGACCACCTCTTCCATGCTAGTCAACAGGTTTTTTTTTTTTTTTGTTGAAAGGAGCATTGACAAATTCTTAGCTTTGCTTTGCTCATCTCGTCTTTTTAAATTATCATAATCAAACATTCTTTTATACGATCACGATAATTAGTTTATTTTATGGATAGCAATCCCCTCCGGCCCCAACACACCTCCAAATGAAGGCCAATGGTAGATTGAAACGAGCATTGACAAATTCTTAGCTCTCCTTTGCTCATCTCGCCTTCTCAAATTATCATAATCAAACATTCCTTTATAAGATTACGATAATTAGTTTATTTTATGGAATCAATCCCCCCGGCCCCAACACACCTCCAAATGAAGGCCAATGGTAGATTGAAACGAGCATTGACAAATTCTTAGTTCTCCTTTGCTCATCTCGCCTTCTCAAATTATCATATTATGTTTTCTTAAAATTACATCTTTGTATCACTTTTATGTTTTAGTATACATTAAAAAAATATAAAAGTAAATATATATGCCAACTACTTAATTTGGTTGATGTTATTACATGTTTTTGTAATTTAAAAGTCTTGAGTTGTAAAAATTATATATTTTTGAATTTATTGTCAATGAGTTAGATTTTTTTTAAAATAAATACTATTTTATAATCAATCAAACTAATAAAAAAAATTATATATCTCCAACTCAATTAGTTTTAGATTTGGAGATATTTATGAGTTGTGTAATAAATGTATAAAAAACAAATATACATGAAACATTTTTTATTAATCTAAGGTGAGTACAAAGGGTAATATATGTTCTAAAGACTCTCAACCATTTGATAATAAACCCTCATGACAAGCATCGTGTACTGTCAAATAATTTATCCTTAATCTCAAAAGAATAAATAAATAAATAAGCGTAATATAGAGAAGAATGGTCGATCTGCAGGGACTTTGGAAATTCTGATATAGAAGGTTCTTGATTCTAATTCGGCAATAAAATAAGAAAATGGGGGGATTTTTGTTGAGAGATAGTAAAGAATAATAAGAATAAAAGAGAACAAGAATTTAAGGAAAATAAGATTTGGATGTAAAAGAAATAATGCTATGTAAATTTTTTAGAAGAAAGATTAATTAAGTAAAACAACCTCAAGAATCACTTTGTCTCAATTCCAACTGAACATCGAATATGATTTTTACTTTGAGTAAATTCGGTTACAGTCTACAAGGCCCAACCCTTTTAACTTGTTTTTCTTTCCGGCAAACCGACATTCTAAAATCAATATTTGGAATCCAATCCTTATTTGGACTAATACAACTATTGTCGCTAGCACTAATAAAATTTCAGTTTTGGAAAAGCCCGAATCGAATTATGTTGTCTCAATTAGAATCGAATCTGATCACAATTTCTCTTAGCGGACCACCGCTAAGTGTGTTACCAGGAAGTTGAACTTGCTACTAACTGATTTTTCCTCCCAACATTAAATCAAAACAACATCCAAAACAACGTCTACTTATTGAAATGAAAGTGTTTTGATTTTATAGGAAAGGTCAATTGTCAATTCAGATTTGCAGAAAACTGAGAATTTAACTTGAAGATAGTATGTGTTTTTCAATTCTCACAATTGGAATTAAGTCATCGCTTAAACCTTTGGCTTATAGGAAAATTTGCTAAGCATGATAGAAATCATACTTAGCATATTTTAAAGAAAGTAAAAATAAAAACTTGAAAAGTAAAAATGAAACGAAAGAAAAGAAAGAAATTTTATAAAATAGAAAACAAAAAACAAAG